TTTAACAATCGTTTTGCGCAGTCTTCCCACTCTATGATACCTTCTTCCTCTCCAATCATTCCCATCACCTTCTCCGGCTTTATTTTTCCCACTCCTAGCTTATATACCATATTCCAAGGTCCCAGCTCCTCCTGTTCCTTATTAAATATATTCCAACTCTTCAGTTTAGCCTCCTTAATCATTTTCTTATATTCTCTCTTTTTCCTGTTATACTCCATTTTTAATACGTCCTTATTGTCCCCCATACTTCCCCGCTGATACATCCTCCTCACCCGTGCTATCTCTCTCTTACGAATATTTAATTCATTTGACCACCAACACACCTTCTTCATTCTCCGCACTCCTTTTGGTATCGCCTTCTGTGCACTAACTAAAATCCAATCTTCAACCCTTTTGGCCATTCTGATGACATCTTTTTTTCCTGATACTCTAAAACATTCAACCTCATTCACACATTCCCTCAGACATTCCCTAAATTTCTTCCAATCCGCCTTTTTCATTTGAAATTTTGCACGCTCCACTTTACTGTTTACAAACACTCCTCCCTTGCATACCTCAAACATTATCACCCGATGTGCACTACTTGTAACATTATCGCATACCTTCCAACCATTCACTCTATCATTCATACTAGGGGAAACCACCGTTATATCAATAAAGCTACTACCCCTAAAGTTGCTGAAAGTTGCAATTTTTCCGTCATTCAAAAATGACCAACCTAGTTGGTCCACACAACACTCAAGATCCGTACCTCTCCCATTCACCACATTCCCTCCCCATCTCACATTTCTTGCATTCGCATCCATACATACTATAACATTTTTCCCTCTCAACACACTACCAATTTTCCACAAATTCTCCAAATGTCCATCTATATCTTGGGACGCCTGGAACTATGATGATACGAGGTACAAATCTCCCATTGATGTTACCAATTGTACCACCACACAATGGTTATTGCTCAATTTCCCAAACTTTAAGACACCTAGATTGGGATCCATTACCACTACCGCAGCCCACGGTCTTTCCCCGCCCACAATTATCCTTGCATTCATACCAAACCCAGTCACACCGCCGCCTTTTCCACTCACCCAAGGCTCCTGCACCGCTGCCACACTCACTCCATTACGCACACACCATTCACGCAATTCCACTGTCACTACCATCGCTCTATCCATGTTTAATTGTGCTATTTTTAAATTACTCATACTGTGTATTCCTTCTTAGCATAGCCCGCTCCATTTCGAAAACAGGGCACTTAACCGAATGTACAGAGTGTGCCATTTCTTTGTAACCATACCTTTTACAGTTAACACATTTTAATCCCTCCTGCTCATCTTTCCTACTACATGATACTTCATGCTTCTTCCTCATCTCGCATGACACTTCGTGATGTCCTCAGTACATTGATACTAAGAAATACTTCTAATCACGGTTATTAAGTATACCACTTATGTATTTATAAAGAGTTAATTAACCTATCTATTCCACACAACGTTCAAGTCTTATGGCACCTTCATTGATATGACTTCTGCCCCACCTCTTCTTAGCATTCGCATCGATACATATTACCCCTCACCTACCTCTAAATAAATACACACCAGATTCTCATCTTGTAATCCAAATACCCCTCGATGTCTTGAGAGTTTCGGAATTGCACTGATGCTAAGAAGTATTTCCGATTAAGTGGACCACCATGCGGCACTACGGATTGAAAGGACTCCTTCCAACCTCTGGACTCTAAGGGACGAATGAGCCCAGGCTTATTCGAGAATCGTCTGCTTAGGTCTGTAAGACTAAGTGTCATAGACGATAGAAATACTACGGAAGAGGCAATACGAAGAACGATGAACTACTGTTATTTATAAAAAGGGATCCCATCTAAACCACACAACATTCAAGCTCTGTACCTCGTTTGTAAAAAGGAATTACACTCCACCTCTAAATACACACCTGATTATCCTCTAACAATTCAAATATTCCTCAATCTGTTGAGAGCTTTGGAAGTGCACTGATGCTGAAAAATACCGCCGATTAGGTTGACCATCAGGCGGCACTACTATCACTGCAGGTTTCCTCGGAATCCGTATCCTTCAAGGGACGAATGAACCTAGGCTCAGTCGAGAATCGTCCCCTTGTTCCCGCAAGACTAAGCTTCATCGACTATAGAAATGGGTCTACTCTTAGCATGGTTAGGCGTTCAATTATTCGATCCAGGAATGTTGTAACCTCGCTATATGACAATTTTCGACCGATGCCATCCTATCACTTTCTCCATTTTATGGCATCGATCCACAACTTTATCGCATCTTTTTTAAAAATATTTTGCGTGTTTTTTTGAGAAATTCCTCTCTAGATATACTTTTATTTCTTCTAGACTCCTTAACAATTCAACTCCTGCCGTCTCTACAACATTTGTAGGCCTCCCCCCCTGAAACTATTATTTCGCTCAATAGATCTCCTTCAGGAGAAGAGATCTCCATAGAGCTCTCATGCGTACTCTCAGGACTCTCCCTGACCGACTCGGTCACCTCTCTTTCACTCATTTTGTCTAATAACTAAATACACCAAGAAATCGATCTAAATTTTAACCAAAACAAGGCCACGTGGTTACCACGTGGTGACCTATTTTTACTTATTACTAAGTCCCTATTGCACCGATTCAATTATAATTTTGTCAAAATATACCCCTTAATGCGATCTAAATAATTGTCAAAGCAAACTTCCCCAAAACCGACCCCAAATTAAGTAATTTCCCAATAACTGTCGACCACGTGGTCACCCATGCGGTTAACTAACTCACTAAATGTAACTAAAATTTCACTAAATAATAATTATAACACAACATACAATATACTCAGAATCGTACACCCACACATACACCCTAATAACCCCTCTTTCACACAATTATTTACAATTATATCACCCTACTAACCTCCACTTTTTAAAACTTTTATTATTATTCAATTATACACTTAAATTATACACGCATTTATTCCAGCGTCCACACCATTTAACAATCACACCTTTCTCTTCCAACCTCAACTTTTCTAAATCCGTTCTGTCATGTACTTAATAAGGCAATTACCCGAGTGTACCGAGTGAGCCGTCTCCTTATAGCCATATCTTTTGCAGTTCACGCATTGCAGTCCCTCCTGCTCATCTCTCTTATCGCATGAGACTTCATGATGCCCATCCGCACCACACCATCCACACGTTATAATTACATCACACCTACTCCCAGAATGGCCGAAACGATGGCACTTCCAACTCTTTCTAATACCCAAATATTCATTCACTCCCGCATACATTCTACCACCAATACACAATCTCTTAAACAACCGTGGACTCACCCGCACGACCCAATCACTAAATGCATCCTTCTTCTTTGTTATATATTCAGGCACATACTCACTCTTACATTTATCCATGGTCATTCCATCAAACGAAATCTCATTTCTCCTATGCACACACTCTAGGAGATCGTTCTTCCATATCTCATTCTGAACATCAAGCACTCTCACACGTGGCATTCTCCATCCTTTCTCACCGTCAACAATCACACCTTTCTCTTCCAACCTTTCGTTCTGTCTCAACTTTTCTAAATCCGTTCTGTCATGTGCTTCTATTACATAGTTATTCCCTCTTTCGACTAACCCCCTTACACGTACATCACCCTGTTTGGCATCTAAACAGGCCACTACCTCCTCTTTACTCCACTTTGCCTCACCACCAGGCATTTCCAAACGAACCCATTGACCCTTCTTCCCATTCTTAACCACTTTCAACCACTCTCCCTCTTGTGCATAACACTCACGGTAGGGTCCATAACAACTATCACACTAAACGGCCGCTAACCTCTACTCGCCATCACTCTAGCATTCATTCCAAAGCTATATTTACCTGCGCAATTTTTAACTCAAGCATATTGGATGTTGCGCTTTAACATTACACGTCTCATTTGCAAGACTGGACAGCTATTTGGATTTATTTAATGGGCCACCTCTTTATTTCCTCTTTATTATTGAGTTTCGGAAGTGCACTGATGCTAAGAAGTATTTTCGATTAAGTGGACCACCATGCGGCACTACGGATTGAAAGGATTCCTTCTAACCCCTGACCTCTAACGGACGAATGAGCCCAGGCTCATGACTTTTGCGTATAGTCGGGATTCGGTCTTAGAGGCGTTCAGGCCTAATCCCTCGGATGGTAGCGTCGCACCAGCGGCGTGTCAACCGAGTCCGTGTACCAATTGTCCGAACCTGCGGTTCCTCTCGTACTAAGCAGGATTACTATAGCAACGACACCCCATCAGTAGGGTAAAACTAACCTGTCTCACGACGGTCTAAACCCAGCTCACGTTCCCTATTAGCGGGTGAACAATCCGACGCTTGGCGAATTCTGCTTCGCAATGATAGGAAGAGCCGACATCAAAGGATCAAAAAGCGACGTCGCTATGAACGCTTGGCCGCCACAAGCCAGTTATCCCTGTGGTAACTTTTCTGACACCTCTTGCTGAAAACTCTTCAAGCCAAAAGGATCGATGGGCCGTGCTTTCGCAGTCCCTATGCGCACTGAGCATCGGGATCAAGCCAGCATTTGCCCTTTTGCTCTACGCGAGGTTTCTGTCCTCGCTGAGCTGACCATAGGACACCTGCGTTATTATTTGACAGATGTACCGCCCCAGTCAAACTCCCCGCCTGGTAGTGTCCTTGGATCGGATCACGCTAGGGAGTGTGTTGCCGGACGGCGCGACGAGGGCCGTAGCGACGACGCACGCGGCAGCACCGCCCGAGAGCGGGCCACTCGCGGGCCCCGCCTCGTCCTGCCGGCCGCCGGCAACCCTTGGCGCTTGGCGCGAGAATACCGTCGCGTCGGAGTGTTGACACTCCGGCGGACGCCCTCCGCCTCACCAAGTAAGTAAGGAAACTATGAAAGTAGTGGTATTTCACTGTCGACGGAGAACCGCCTCCCACCTATGCTACACCTCTCATGTCTCCTTACAGTACCAGACTAGAGTCAAGCTCTACAGGGTCTTCTTTCCCCGCTGATTCTTCCAAGCCCGTTCCGTTGGCCGTGGTTTCGCTAGATAGTAGGTAGGGACAGGTGTGTACGTCGTATAGAGGACGGGAACGGAAAGAAGTCGTGCCTAGCCTGAGGGCCTTAACCGGACTCTTTCCTATCCCTGCACTCCACGACCAATAGGTAAGGATACACCTGATGGCATCCTTGGAAAAGACAAAACCTACTTCTCTAGCTTCCGCACCACAGTAGATAGTACCAGAACAACTGGGGTCATACTACTGGGAGCATCTAACACACGACCACTACGTCTGCAACCGGCGTACCGCCAAGCGGCCCCGGCCACCAGCCCATGTAGTCATTGCCTGAAGGAGGCAGACCACCAGCCCGTAGTAACATTTTTGGACCTAAGGTCCCAGAGGCCATGAATGGTCACAGGCCCGGGGCAAGCACCTACGGTTCCCCTGTCCCATGATAGAATGGGGGGACTAACCATCCTATCATGAGAGAGGGAGGGATCCGTACCCTTCATCCACCTAAGTCCACCAACATACATAATATTACAATCACTCACACGCTCTCACACTATACCATTTACTCTCCCACATACATACTATATTATTTTTTTTTTTTTTCTTTTTTTTCTTTTTTTTTTTTTTTTTTTTTTTTTTTAATCAATTGCACTTCTCTTTTCCGCCTCTTCTAACGTCTGCATCACCTTTATCGCATAATCCCTAAAGCATTTATACCCTTTTTCACTCATACAACCACGCATTCCTTTCAAACGAAGTTCTCTTAATTCCCGATCCAGTACACTTCTTTCTTTTTGATACTTTATGCACTCAAACAAAACATGTCTGGCACTTTCTGTCTCCTCCTCATCACAGTCACACCACGGATTTTCACACAAACCAAAGCCAAACAATTTATCACGGAGGCACCCATGTCCGCTCAGTACTTGACACATCAAGTAATCCAATTCCAGCCACTCCATATTCATTCTTTCTTTTACATTCGGTAACCATTCATACGTCCACCTTCCCTTACTACTTTCATTCCATCTCTTTTGCCATTCATTCAGGCACACATCCCGTAATGTACCTTTCTTCTTAACCCCTTCTATCACTTGCCCTCTCCATTCCACTCTACCATATCTTCTCATTCTGTAACTTGCCCATCTTCTCTCAACTTCCAAATCTAACGGCCACTGTCCTGCCAATACTTCTAATGCGTCCTGCGAAATCGTTCTGTATGCCCTCAGCCATCTTAATAATACCCTTCGCTGACCTCTACGCAATTGCCGTCTTGTCCATACATTTAATTTAGCTCCCCAAGCTCCTGCCGCATAGCAAGTAATGGCCAAGTACAAACCTTTATATAGCATTTTTACCAAGCTCATTCGCACACATTCAGTCTTCTTCTCATACATACTCAACACTCCATTAAATAATCTTGCAGCTTTCTCACATGCTATAACCACATGTTGTTGTATCCTCATTCGTTCTTCCCATACAACACCCAAGTATCGCACTCGTTCCACAAATTTCAATACATTGCCACTCACATTCACTCTAGGATATCTATTTCTTACACACTTCCCTTTCAACATCATACATACAGTCTTTTCAGTCGATAAACACATCTTATTCTCATTCATCCATTCATCCAACACTCCCATAGCTTCATTCGCTCTCCTTTCAATTACACGGCGGGAATTACCTTTTATCAATATCACTCCGTCGTCCGCAAAAGCGATCATGTCCCAACCTGCCTCATTCATTCTACGCACACATCCATCAAATATCAGTTTCCAAATTTGTGGGCCCATGACAGAACCTTGGGGACATCCCATATTCACTTTTTTCGTCACTACGCCAGGTCCGACATTCAACTCTACCGACCTTCCTGAAAGGTAGTCCTTCATTAATTCAAACCCCTCCTTCCTTACGCCTCTCTCTCGCAGGCATCTTAACACACCAGGCCACCACACTCTATCAAACGCACCACTAACATCCAGAAACACTCCAACTACATACCTAGATTCACACTCACCAATCACACTTTGTAACTCATTCATTGCATCCTCCGTGCTTTTACCTTTCATAAACCCAAATTGTCTATCATGCACACCCTCGTTAAAAACGTTCTCCAGTTTAGTAACAATTATTCTTTCGAATACCTTTCCCAACACAGATAGTAAGCATATAGGTCGGTATGACTTAATATGTCCGGGTCTTTGTCTTCGCTCTTCAACAATGCCCTAACAATCCCATATTTCCATCTATTCGGAAAAACTCTAAACTTAATACACAGACGGTACAGTCTTACTAGCACACTTCTCAGTACCTCCCAACCCTTCTTTAACATTTCAATACTGATCTCATCTTTTCCAGGCGCCTTACCATTCTTACTCATCCATACAGCCACTTTCACATCTTCCTCTCTTAATTCCCATCTTTCTCCATATTCCGGTCTATACCTTCCATTCTGTTGTCTTATATCCACGTGCATTCCATTCTCATTTTCACTACAGTCATCCAAAATTAATCCGTTTAACAATCGTTTTGCGCAGTCTTCCCACTCTATGATACCTTCTTCCTCTCCAATCATTCCCATCACCTTCTCCGGCTTTATTTTTCCCACTCCTAGCTTATATACCATATTCCAAGGTCCCAGCTCCTCCTGTTCCTTAATAAATATATTCCAACTCTTCAGTTTAGCCTCCTTAATCATTTTCTTATATTCTCTCTTTTTCCTGTTATACTCCATTTTTAATACGTCCTTATTGTCCCCCATACTTCCCCGCTGATACATCCTCCTCACCCGTGCTATCTCTCTCTTACGAATATTTAATTCATTTGACCACCAACACACCTTCTTCATTCTCCGCACTCCTTTTGGTATCGCCTTCTGTGCACTAACTAAAATCCAATCTTCAACCCTTTTGGCCATTCTGATGACATCTTTTTTCCTGATACTCTAAAACATTCAACCTCATTCACACATTCCCTCAGACATTCCCTAAATTTCTTCCAATCCGCCTTTTTCATTTGAAATTTTGCACGCTCCACTTCACTGTTTACAAACACTCCTCCCTTGCATACCTCAAACATTATCACCCGATGTGCACTACTTGTAACATTATCGCATACCTTCCAACCATTCACTCTATCATTCATACTAGGGGAAACCACCGTTATATCAATAAAGCTACTACCCCTAAAGTTGCTGAAAGTTGCAATTTTTCCGTCATTCAAAAATGACCAACCTAGTTGGTCCACACAACACTCAAGATCCGTACCTCTCCCATTCACCACATTCCCTCCCCATCTCACATTTCTTGCATTCGCATCCATACATACTATAACATTTTTCCCTCTCAACACACGACCAATTTCAAAATTCTCCAAATGTCCATCTATATCTTGGGACGCCTGGAAATATGATGATACGAGGTACAAATCTCCCATTGATGTTACCAATTGTACCACCACACAATGGTTATTGCTCAATTTCCCCAACTTTAAGACACCTAGATTGGGATCCATTACCACTACCGCAGCCCACGGTCTTTCCCCGCCCACAATTATCCTTGCATTCATACCAAACCCAGTCACACACCGCCCGCCTTTTCCACTCACCCAAGGCTCCTGCACCGCTGCCACACTCACTCCATTACGCACACACCATTCACGCAATTCCACTGTCACTACCATCGCTCTATCCATGTTTAATTGTGCTATTTTTAAATTACTCATACTGTGTATTCCTTCTTAGCATAGCCCGCTCCATTTCGAAAACAGGGCACTTAACCGAATGTACAGAGTGTGCCATTTCTTTGTAACCATACCTTTTACAGTTAACACATTTTAATCCCTCCTGCTCATCTTTCCTACTACATGATACTTCATGGTGCCCGTCCACACCGCACCATCCACATGTTACAACTGCATCACACCTGTTCCCTGTATGGCCAAAACGATGGCACTTCCCACACTTCCTTATACCTAAATACTCATTCACTCTACACACTTTCACTCCCACATATATTCTACCGCCAACACACAACCTCTTAAATAACCTTGCACTCACCCGCACAACCCAATCATTCACTGCATCCTTCTTATTCGTCATATATTCTGGCACAAACTCGCTCTTACATTCATCCATAGTCATTCCGTCAATCAAAATCACATTTCTCCTATACACGCACTCTAAAAGATCATTCTTCCCTATCTCGTTCTGCACATCAAACACTTTCACTCGTGGCATTCGCCATCCTTTTTCACCATCGACAATCACCCCTTTCTCTTTCAATCTTTCATTCTGTCTCAATTTCTCTAGATCTGTTCTATCATGCACTTCAATAACATAATCATTTCCTCTTTTTATCAACCCCCTTACTCGTACGTCCCCCTGCTTGGCATCTAAGCAAGCCACCACCTCCTCTTTGCTCAACTTAGAATCACCACCAGGCATTTCTAGACGTACCTTGGACCCTTCTTGCCATATTTTACCACCTTCAGCCACTCTCCCTCTTGTGTGTTCCCATCAGTTTTAGCACTATCCGTCACCGTTTTCGCCACATTCTCAACAACATTCACCGCACTTACAACTTTTTCACTTACATTTTCACACACCCGCTCAACTTTCACAACCTCCTCTCCTACTTTCTCGACTTTCTCACCAACATTCTCACAAACACGCTCCATTCGTACCACCTCCTCCCCCAACGAGATACCTTCACTCATTCTCTTAAATTCTTCCCTAACCATATTCATAACTTGTTCTCCCATGTTATCTATTCTCCTAGTAACTACCTTTTCCAATCGATTTTTCTCCTCATCCTCCACCAGCCTCTGTAGTTTATTCTCCACCCTATCCAGTCTTTCCGTAATTTTAAGAAGCTTTCCATATTCCCTCTCCATTTTATGACATCGATCTACGACTCGGTCACATCTTTTTTTGAGATATTTAGAGTGCTTCTTTGAAAAATTTCTCTCCAAGTACACCCTCATCTCCTCCAAACTCCTCAATAACTCACCTCCTGCCGCCTCTACGACATTAGTAGCCCCCCCTCCCGACACTATTATCTCACTTAATAGTTCTCCTTCAGGAGAAGAAATCTCCATCGAGCTCTCATGCGTACTCTCATGAGGACTCTCGGCCACCTCTCTTTCACTCATTTTATATTCTCAAACAAATAAACAAAAAAGAAATAAATTTTAAATAAATTTTAACCCAAACAAGGCCACGTGGTGTTCTATTTTTACTTACTACCAATTTCCTACTACACCAATTAAATTAAAATTTTGTAAAAATACACCCCTTAATACACTCTAAAGAATTGTCAAAACAAAATTTTTCCAAACCGCCCCCAAATTAAGAAATTTAGCAATAACAGTCGACCACGTGGTCACCCACATGGTTAATTAATTCAATAAATGTTATTAAAACTTTTTCAATCAATAACTATAACACACATACAATATACCCGTTTTCTTGCACACACCCGTACACTCCAATAACTCCTCTTTCACACGACTACTCACAATTTTATCGCCCCACTAACCTCGACGTTTCAAACTTCCACTATTACTCAATTATACTCTTAAATAACTTTCAAAACATTATATTAATCATTCATTCAACAAATTTACACTATCAGAATACAACAATAAGCACTTAATACAATTTATAACTTACAAGACGGGATGATACAGCAAAGCACCTGCGCTCTCAACCAGTCCAGCCAAGCAAGTCAGTAGGTAGGGACAGATGGAAACAACAGCAACTTTCAACTTGGATTCTCACTCGAAAGTGTTTGATCCTCAAGTTGAGTGTTGTATATTTTAATGACTGGGGCAAAACCCACACACTAGCTTCCCCCTCCGTAGAGGGATCCAACCACGACCACCACGTCATGCGATCGGGCAGTGCAAGCACTCCCGACCACCACCCAATGATGGCCCTGGCTAAGGGCCATCCCCGTGGTACCATTTTGGCCTCTTCGCCTTTAAGGGCACGAATGGTCGCATGCCCCGAAACTGCAAATTTCTCGCAGCCTCTACGGTTTACCAGAGACACAAGTTGACGGGAGGATGCCCGCCCCTTTGTGTACTGGAGGGTGTTCCGTACCCAAATCCAGACGTCTTCTGTCTTCTACTTCCATTTGGTTTATTCACCGTCTACTCTTTTCCTCTTCAATATTCTATTTACTATGTTCTCTATTTCATAAATCTTCTCTGATGTCAGCCACCCGCTGAAGTCCTTGATGTCTACCTCATCCGGCCATCCTCTTCTTTCCAAGTTGTACTTATTGCATTCCGCAATCACATGTTCCACACTCTCAATTTCTCCACAAGAGCATCTATCGGTTTCTGAGATGCATCTCTTACAAAGATATTCTTTGAACTGTCCATGTCCACTCAATATTTGAGTCATCCCATGCCCAGGAATCCACTCGATCTTTGTCCTCTTCTTCACATCTGGTATTATTATTCTAGTCCAACATCCTGTTTCTGACTGATCCCACCTTTCCTGCCACATGCTCATCTTTATCTCGTTAATGTTCCTCTTGTGACCATCTTTAACAATCATTCTCCCTCTCCATTCAACACTTCCATATACTTTTACTCGTCTTTTCACCCATAAGGATTCAGCTTCTATGTCTAACGGCACCAGACCCACCAACACCTGCAAAGCATTTGTTGACACACTTCTATATGCCGCAGTCATCGCAATTGCAACTAGTCTTTGTCCTCTGTTCAGTTCCCTTCTTCCTATACTCGGTACCATCCTTTCATACCAACTCCCAACACCATACAGTGCAATTGGTATAAACACCGCTCTATAAATAGACTTTATAACATCCCTAATATTTTTGTTCCACTGACAAGATATCCTTCTTATTACTGATCTTACTTGGTTATACGCCTTTTGCACCGCCTCCTTTATATGATTTACTACTTTCTAACCTCTTTGCCACTTTACTCCCAGGTATGTAATCTCCTTCTCCATCCTTAATGACATTCCTTCCACTACAATTGTAGGTTCTCTCTTCATCGTTCCCTTTAGGAACATCATTTTAGTCTTAGTCGCCGAAAGTCTCATCTTAGTGCTCCCACACCACTTCATTATTTTACTCACTATTTCTCTAGCCACTATCTCTAAGTCTCTTCTAGAATTTCCCCAGATAATAACAGCTCCATCATCTGCAAAGAAAACAGTCCTCCATCCTGCACTTTTCAGTATTTTAATCAGTTCATCTATTAGTATCTTCCACATCTGGGGTCCCAGAACTGACCCCTGTGGACACCCTTTATTCACCACCTTAGTCACTTTTCTCCCTGCCTCTACTATCTCCACACTTCTGCCACTAAGGTAGTCCTTAATAATTTTATACATCTTTCCTCCCACTCCTCCTCTTCTCAGCTGACATAACACAGCAGGCCACCACACCCTATCAAAGGCTGCCTCTATGTCCAAGAAGATACCCATTACATATCTATCGTTCCTTTCTTCAACTACTCTCCTTATCTCGTCCATTGCATCCTCAGTACTTCTATTAGGCATGAAACCATACTGATTCTTGTCGATCTTTTCCACAAAGACATCTTCTAATTTGGACACTATCACTCTTTCTAATAGTTTTCCCATAACAGGTAGTAGGCAAATTGGCCTATACGATTTTATCACTTTCGGATCCTTATCTTCACTTTTTAATAGTGCCTTGATCCTTCCCTTTTTCCACCTTCTCGGGAATACACCTTTATCAATACATCCTTGAAATAACCTCTGTACAGTTATATGTATCTCACTCCATCCTTCTGTAATCATTTCAGCCATGATTCCATCAAATCCTGGTGCTCTTCCACTCTTTAGTTTCTTTAGCTCCACCTTGATCATTTCTTCGCTCACTATAACTCTAGCCCTGTTTAGATCATTCCTTTCCTCATTTTCAACCCACTTCCTCATTTCCTTATGCTCCTCTTCATCCTCTTCATCATCCATAACTAGGCCATTTAACAGCCTACTTGCTGATTCTTCCCAAGAATACTCTACCTTATCTTGCCCTAGGGCACTCATAACCTCCCTGGGACGAAGTTTACCTCTTCCTAGTTTATACACCACATTCCATGGTCCCTTCTCAAACTCAGTTATCACAAAGTCCTTCCAGCTTTGCTCTCTACTTTGTTCTATCCTATTTCGATAGTCCCTCCTCATCCTTTTCCACTCCTTACATTTTTCGTCTCTATCTAGTGGGCCAGTAGCCTTATGCCACACCTTTCTACATTTCAGGACATTTCTCCGCATCTCTTTTAATTCCTCAGTCCACCATATTATCTGACCTGCCTTTCCTCTTGTCCTCTTCAGGGTTCTATGTGCTGCATCAAGCAACCATTTTTCTAATGAATACGCTAATTCTACTACCGTTTTCTTATTGGATATTGGTAATCTTTCCATCCACATTCTTGATTCATTTAGCACATTTCTGTACTCTTCCCAGTTTGCATCCTTTAATTTCCATCTGTTCTCAATAGCGTACTCCTCCTTCCTTCCTACACCTCCTATTTCATACCTTATAACAGCATGAGGACTTGTGGTCCAGTTCCATTCTATTTTCCACATGCTTACCTCTCTCCTAATATTACTTGTCCTCAGTGTTACATCTATGTATGATGTAGAACTGCCTCTTATAAATGTTGGTCCTTGCTCAATCTCATTTATTATATCCAATTCCAATTCATTTAGAGTTTCCTCTAGGCTTTCTCCCTTGTCATCAACAAAAGGAGCACCCCATCTTGGACTCTTTGCATTTACGTCAGCTGCTAGTACAATTTTCTTCCCTCGAAGGGTATTACATATATTTTCCATCGTCCTTAGGTACCGCTCAATATCGTCCTTAAATTGACAATACATACTAACCAAGTAGAAACTTTCTCTACACCTTGGCATTATCTCCACAGTCACACAATGGGTGTTCGACAATTCTGCAATTTTCATGCATCCAACTTCAGGATCCAATACTATAATTGCTGCCCAAGGCCGCTCTCCATCACTGTTTCCTGTGACAACTCTACTACCTATTCCAAAGCCACCCACCATGTTCTGTCCTGTAACATACTGTTCCTGAATTGCCAATACTTTGACTTGATTTTCTACAGCCTTTTGCCTGAATTCTGCCGTAACATTTTTTGACCTGTCCATGTTGAGTTGTGCAACCCGAAGGCCGCTACTCTTTCTTATTCTTGTCTTCCTTACTCTCATGATAGTACTGATAATTCTTCCCCTATGGACTGCACCCCTTCCATAGGTTTTCCTTTCTCATCCTTCCTTTCACTTCCTTCCTTATCACTCTTTATTTCATATGAAGTTACTTTTCTTACTATGCTCTTTTCCCTCACCATTACCGGGCATCCATCCCATAATGTAGAATGCCCTACATCTTTCAACTTGTATCTTGTATCTCCACTTTTTTATATTCTAACACTCCACCTTTGCATACCTCAAACAGTATCACCCGATGTGCACTAGTAGTAACATTTTCGCAAACTGTCCAGCCATTCAGTCTACCATTCATACTGGGAGAGACCACCGTAATGTCAATATAGCTGCTGTCCATGAAGTAATTGAAAGACGCAACTCTACCATCATTCAGGAAGGACCAACCTATTTGATCCATACAACTCTCAAGGTCTGTTCCTCGTTCATTTACTACATTCCCTCCCCATCTCTCATTTTTTGCATTTGTGTCCATAGATACAATAATATTCGCTCTCAACACACGACCAATCCTTCTCAAACACTCTAAATGTCCTTCTATACCTTGGGACGCCTGGAAATATAATGACACGAGGTACAAGTCTCCTACCGGTGTTACTAACTGTACCAGTACACAGTGGTTATCACATGATTTCCCCAACTTTAAAACACCTAGGTTGGGGTCCATCACCGCTACGGCAGACCACGGTCTTATACATACATGCATACATTCATACCAAACCCAGTTATACCACCACCTTTTCTACTCACCCACGGCTCTGGCACCGCTACTACAGTCACTCCATTACACACAGACCATTCACGCAATTCCGTCGTCACCACCATTGCCCTATCCGTATTTAGTTGTGCTATTTTCAAATCATTCATACTGAGTGTTCCGTTTTAGCATAGCCCGCTGCATTTCAAAAATAAGGCAATTACCCGAGTGTACCGAGTGAGCCGTCTCCTTATAGCCATATCTTTTGCAGTTCACGCATTGCAGTCCCTCCTGCTCATCTCTCTTATCGCATGAGACTTCATGATGCCCATCCGCACCACACCATCCACACGTTATAATTACATCACACCTACTCCCAGAATGGCCGAAACGATGGCACTTCCAACTCTTTCTAATACCCAAATATTCATTCACTCCCGCATACATTCTACCACCAATACACAATCTCTTAAACAACCGTGGACTCACCCGCACGACCCAATCACTAAATGCATCCTTCTTCTTTGTTATATATTCAGGCACATACTCACTCTTACATTTATCCATGGTCATTCCATCAAACGAAATCTCATTTCTCCTATGCACACACTCTAGGAGATCGTTCTTCCATATCTCATTCTGAACATCAAGCACTCTCACACGTGGCATTCTCCATCCTTTCTCACCGTCAACAATCACACCTTTCTCTTCCAACCTTTCGTTCTGTCTCAACTTTTCTAAATCCGTTCTGTCATGTACTTCTATTACATAGTTATTCCCTCTTTCGACTAACCCCCTTACACGTACATCACCCTGTTTGGCATCTAAACAGGCCACTACCTCCTCTTTACTCCACTTTGCCTCACCACCAGGCATTTCCAAACGAACCCATTGACCCTTCTTCCCATTCTTAACCACTTTCAACCACTCTCCCTCTTGTGCATAACACTCACGGTAGGGTCCATAACAACTATCGCACTAAACGGCCGCTAACCTCTACTCGC